CAAATATGTATTCTTTTTCCATATTTGGCACCAGAAATTAAATTGAACATGATGGTATGATTTCTCACATTAAATTGGAAGCTCCTCCCTACTGCATATTTTGGCCCTATCCATACACTGATATAAAGGGTATATTGTTAAAAAAAAAAAAAAGAAACCTTGCAACTTTAAGACTCTTGCAGCTTCCATTAAATGTCAACAACAACACCTAATTTGCTATCTATCATCTCCTCAGGGCCATGCTTCTATGGACCACAAACTACCCTATGTTATTGAGGCAGATGATGCGGAACATGGAGAAGACATGAGACACTCTCAGCAGAGGAGAGTGCCTCTGTTACAGGGAGCAGGCAGCCCTGTTCATCAGCCCTGCCTTAGCACCCTGTTAGGAGAGGAGCTCCGCCACATCAGTGCACTCCGCCGCTGTCGGTCACCTGTTCAGGACGGTAGAGGCCGCAGCCCGTCTCCTCAGCCATTCCCCAACGAGGAGCTCTCGCAGACTCCTTTACCCAGGCTTACCATTGACTCTGGCCTGAACCATCGGCCTGCCAAGCTACTCATGCCATCCTTACCTTGTGTTAGTCCACTAAACCTAAGCCCCAGGTAACCTGTTTATCCTGCTTTATCCAAATATGATTCAGCAATTTAGTTTGCATCTATTCAGAATTGTGTAACACTGATTTGTGTCTCTGCTAGGGTCGTGGATGGAATTGAGGACAATGGTCATGCATTTCAATTTAATGTAGAGCAGAGCGAGACAAAGACTAATGTAACAGGTAAAGTCTCTGGAAGCTATACACTGGATGAAAAGTGAACTATATTGGACTGGGGGCGGCAAAAATGTTGATTGAAAACACTTCTCAGGAACAGATGCTTAACTCTAAATTATGCAAGGTTGAATAAGCATAGGAAAATATCAGATTTGTGACACTTTGTCTATTTCTCTATATTCAACCAGTACAGATAATCCCACTCATTTGGGATATTATATATTGCATACCCAGTGGTGAAAAGGTTTTATCTGAGACAAACTATTTCTCTATTTTTCATCCTTTTTCAGACCGGTTCAAGGTGAGTGCTCACCTGCTTCTGGAGACAGAAGAAGTGAGACAGAACATCAGCAAACTGAACAAAGAGGTATGGAACATAACTGTAGTCTTTGACACAACTAGGCCTTTATCATTTTCCTCCAAGTGTACCACTGATTCTTGCCATCAAGGATATCCAATTATTAAAAGGTAGATGTACCTATTCAGCCAACTTTTCTTTGTCTTTTTAGGTAAGCAACTTGAACCAAGAAGTATCCAACCTTGCCAAGGAGCTCCACGACATAATGCACTTCTTACCGTCTCATATGGCCATGCTCCATTATAACCCTCCAGTCTCCTCATATTCCTGTGGCATACCGATGGCTCCCAGTCCTAGTGTGTCTGCTTCAAGCAACTGGCAGCCCCATGTCCCTTTAAATATTGCCACTGGGCTGCACCTCCATCATGAAGCAATCAGCCACCCTGCCAGAAATGTGTGGGGCTGCAGCGGGATGTCCTCCCAGGGCAGAAGTCCCACGCTGCTACACTCTTCAAGCCCTATGTCATCCTGTTTACACCTATGTTGCTCTGACAGAGAGGGGGGCACAGCCCACAGGTTACAGAGCCAGTGTGGTCCCTTCCAAACCTCCAGAACAACCCCAAACTCTCCCTATATGACCCATCCACATGCCCAGGCAGGTCCATCTCTCCTGGCCCTCAGTAGCTTCCCAGTGATTTGTCAGGCCACACAAGTGGCCTACAATGCCCCTATTCCCACAATGAGCAACTCTCACCCTCTTTGTTCCCCAGTAAATTCAGTCTACTCCCGTCCATCTATGAGTGTTCAAACCAACTCTGATCCCACACATAATCAGACCAACTCCCAGACACCCATCCATTCCTCCATCACTCCCACTGGCCAGCCACAGTATCACACTACCTTCAGCTCTCTTGCCCCTTTGGGAGTCCACACTTCACTATGTACAGGGCACAACCAAAGCCAACAGGGCTCTATCAATGGCCCCAGGCAAAATGAGACAGTGGGATCCAGTCCTACCCACCACACGCAGACCCTTGCATGTTCTCTTCTGGGGCAGGTAACAGACAGAGACTGTAGAGCTTCACTGTATCAAGAGAGGACAGAAAATATTGAATTTCCGTGTATGAGCATCAGTTCTCCTACAGGAGAAGTTCAACCACCTCTCTTGGACATGGAGGGAATCCAAACCCCACACTGATGACCTCAGTAGCTTGTTGTGTTGCTGTATGATACAAAATATTTTATTGTCCTTTTAAAGATTTTTGGTGTAAAGTTTCCATCAAATAAAATGACCAAACTGCTGGAACCCTCAAACATTGGGTTGTGTTCATGTTTGTATGGAATTATTTATTAAATTGATTACTTACTGGTATGCAGCAACTGGTAATATCCATTAAAACATGCACCACACACATTCAATACAGGATCATTTGGATATTTATAAAATATTTGTTAGGAGGTACACAGCAAGACATTATGGATAATAATGGAGATTTATTGTATATACTTTCATGGCTGTCGTCACAATTCAGTGTAACCTGGCTTCAGATGCAAGTTATGAACAATGGGCATGCAGCGCCACTCAGTGGTTACAGTTAGGTAAAACAACAAAAGGCCAACATTTCATCACACACAGCACAGAGGAACTAACCAGACTATGACACACCTCTGATTATTCAACTGAGAAACAAATCAAAGTCTAATAAACTAAAAAAGCAAATCTGGAGAAGGCACATATGAGCACTCAGGAGACCAGAGTCCCACTACAGGGATTGCCACTTTGTGCAGTTAAAAGGATTTTTGAGTTTGAATTTTAATTTTTTCCATTTTATTTGTAGAATAAACCTTTACAAAATAGCGTAATGCAGTAATTCACAAGTGAGACTAATTTCTAAGTTTTTGTAAGGGAATGAAAAACTCCCTTTTACAGTAGATGTCAATTCTCCTTGAGTAGCCAGTATGCATACTAACATATTGGAGGGAGAAATATGGTAGATAGATGGTGCTAGTTTTTGAGTCTGTTGGTGGAGCTGGACTGCGACAGCAGTCTGCCACTGAACACGCTCCTCTGCCCGGTGAAGGTGTTGTGCAGAGGGTGGTGGGTATTGTCCAGATGGACAGCAGTTTATCCAGGGTCCTTCTCTCTGCCACTGTCACCAGAGAGTCCAGCTCTGTGCCCACTACTGAGCCAGCTCTCCTCACTGGTCTGTCCAGTCGACCGGCGTCTCTCTTCTTGCTGCTTCCTCACCAGCAAACCACAGCATAAAAGAGCATGCTGGCCACCACAGATTGGTAAAACATCTGCAGCATTTTTTTGCAGATGTTTAAGGACCCCAGCCTTCTTAGGAAGTACAGACGGCTCAGCCCTTTCCTGTGTAAAGTGTCCATATTTGCTGTCCAGTCCAGCTTGTCGTCCAGCTGCAGCCCCAGATATTTATAGATCCTGACCACCTCGACATCCACCCCCTCGATGGACACGGGTTGGAGATGTGGTTTTCTCCTTCTGAAGTCCACCACCATCTCCTTGGTCTTGGGGGTGTTGCAGCTGCAGATGGTTGGACCTGCACCATCTCACGAAGTCCTCGACCAGGCTCCTGTACTCCCCCTCCCGTCCATCCTTGATACAGCCATCTATTGCAGTATCGTCCGAGTATTTCTGCATGTGGCAGAGCCCAGAGTTATACTGGAGGTCGGATGTGTACATAGTGAAAAGGACAGGAGAGAGCATGGTTCCCTGTGGTGCTCCGGTGCTGCTGACCACAGTGTCTGACGTGCAGCCCTTCAGTCTGACGTACTGTGGTCTCTCCGTGAGGTAGTCCGTAAGAAACCCTTACAAAATAGCATGTAATCATGCAGTAACTCATTGCCCTGAATTATACCTGCACAATTCCTACAGCACACCACATCTCCACAACTGAAACAGATGAATGAACTCCTGAACCTTTGGAAATTACAACCTTCACCAGTGTTGTGGTTTACATCACTTACAAAAAGACACAGGGTAAAACACTGTACAGGCCTAAATAACCCTGTTGCACTTAACATTAAATCCTGACCTGAGTGGTGTATTGTGGGGCATTCTGAGGTACCAGTAGCATTAGCAGGTCATCTTTTAACTCACAACAAACAAAAAGGGCCATTCTGGCAATGTTGATTTATTTGATTTACAGAGTCACACAAGAAACGAAGATGCAAAGTGTATTTTTGTACAAGGGACAAATTATAGCTTTGAAGATCTAAACAAGATTTGAACTTTCCACAACCTCTCCTAATTGGCTCTCTTTCATTTATTCATTCACTCAACCTTTATTTACCACTGGAGAGATCAGTGAGCCTTAATGACATCGAGCTAGCCAGTTAGCCCGCTACGTTATCACACTATTATCTACATTACTATTTTCGGACACATAACACAGTTAGATTGTCTGTCTAATTGTTACTTGAAAATATTTTATTTTTCTTCTGTATATTAATTAAACTGAGTTACAGATTCCTCATTTAGTCTGATCTCTTTTCTCTGGTTGTGCATGTTCATCAGCAGTGTAGTCTAGCTGCAAAGATCAATCAGCAAGTCCATATAAATGTGAAATTGAATCCCAGATGTGAAAAAGTTTATAAGACAAATGACAAATAAAACGTAATTAGAGAGACTGATGTATTAGAAAATTAATGTAGATTTAAAAAGAAGACTTTAATTCAAGACACATCAACATTTAATAAGTATTTTGGCTGTGGTGCCTAAAAAAAACAATTTGAAGCTATTTTGAAGTGTGCAGGCTTTACATTAAAATTTAAACATTAATTAATTATTATAATGAAATTAAGCCAATGCATTGATGAAACGAGGACACTAAAGAGCCCTGCACACCTCCCTCGTACTGCAGACAGTGGTGTCTTGTGTACACTGCTGCCATTGGTCGGACAGCCGCTGACAAAAAGTGGGACGTTCCCGGAAAAATCACTAACCGGAAGGGAAGGCCAGAGCCCAAGAAGAAGAAGAAGAAGAAGAAGAAGATAGCTGCCGCCGCCGCCGATGAGACCAGCGAAAGAAGAAAAAGTATTGTAAGTCAAACAACTTGAAATTATACAAGGTGGTGGGAAAGCGGGACACTGAACGCATCCTGGTCCTTTTTGTCGACCAGCTGTTAACCGTATTTATTCACCCTGTATCATATTTTGAGCAACCAAGTCCGGGTTGAGCCGAAATGTCCATCAGCCTGGATCGAGAGCGGCTACGAGGCTCTAGCTCTGAGAGACACACACACACACACAAAAATACACATATATACACACAAAAAGCCTCGCCACAAACATTACTGAGATTACATACGATGCATGTTTAGCTAACCCGTGTCGGCAGCAGACACGGTAACAAGTCTGAGTCCTCGAGTTTGTCGAAATGTCAAACAGCTGACGACGTGGGGGCCGAGAAAAGGAAAGTTGTCTATTGACGTTTTCTTGGCTAACGTTCTAGCTGCTAACGTAGCTAACGCCGTCATGTTTTCCTTCTACAGAGCTCGACTTTTGTTGGGGTTGTTTTTTTTTTTTTTTTTTATCGACGATTCACGTTGACAAGCTAGTGCTACTGCTAGGTAAATGATATGTGAATGGCTGACATTAGCTAGTCGACGTTAGTTAGTCACTAAGTTGGCACAAGTACGAGGCAGTGTTGTGCTATGTAGCTTTAAGTTATTGATGCTGGGCGCTTTATTTTGACCGCTTATCCTGGTTAACGTTAACTATATCTTCCATTTAGTAGCCAATATGGTTAGTTACACTACACATTTTGGTTGGTTAACCGTGTGCAAGTTGGTTTATTATTTTTATTATGTTACGTTTACAACTTAGCCATGTCTGCTAAAGCTACAAGAGAGAATGAAACCCCTTTTTTTTTTTTTTTAGCTTACATACTTTTAAATGCTGGATGTAACTTTAATATAACATTGGTAGCTTGTTTCACTCTCTCATGCCAGAAAAGAGAGCTTGCACTTTAAGCATTGCCATTATATATAGACGCTGTCATAAATGTGTCATTAGTGCTGACAGCATTTGTGTTGTAATTCAGCCAATTTACGTTGAGGTTATTATGTGTCTGCACGTGTTGTCTCCTTGCACTGGACAACCAATGTGTCTTTGTCACTCCTGTTTATGGCTCAATAAGGAGAACAGGTCTTTGGACCTTTTGAGACACAGAAGGGATTTATGGTAACTTGCTTGAGCTCTTGTTATGTTTATGGTGTATGGACCTTGTCCTTCTAAAGCAGTGCTGCATCTTGACCAACCAGCCTTGATAGGAGGACTGTGAATCCCCCCCCCCACATGTGTATACATAATATTTGTGTTTGGGGTTATCAAGGACACCCCTCACTTTTCTTACTTAGGCTATGTTTCATTCAGCACTGTCTAACGTTGCAGATCAGTAGTGTTGAACTGACAACCAGGCCATAGTAGTGTGTTTCAATTCTTGAATTATGAACTGAAGACTCAACTTTATATAAACTATGTATGCAGTGCATCCTGTGAACTTAATTCTTTTTTTATTTATATGCACTGCAGAAAGAAGCAGATTTTGAAGCCTTTTGTTTTAGGCTTGTTTTGCTATCAAAACATAAAAGGACCAAAGGGAACTAGTATGGGAACCAGTATTTTCATACAAAAGGAAGGCTTTGTAAGAGAAGGTCTTCCTTTTTGTATTTTCTAATGCAGTGTTTAGACATAGGAAGAACTGTGCAAGACTCAGCCTATACTTTAGTAATCTCATATGGTGAGCAATTATGTAACCTGGCCCCTTTTAGAGCTGCTGTTGTACATTATGTTTCAGTAGGTAAATGTTTTTAAACTCTTGGGTCAGTTTTGAATTTCTGACTGTCAGGGAGGTGCAGATTTTGGTGGAGTCTATGGATACCTATATTTCTCTGTGGATACTACTGAGCTTTTCATGAGAAGTCACGAGAAAGGGAAGTGCCTGTGATTTCCTATTGGCCTTGCTAACTCGTAGTGATGAGTATCCTGTTTGCTTTTCCTGAGTTATGTCACCAGTTTCCCCGTATCTGTTTCCAGAGCCATTCTTTATTAGAAACTTAAACTGCAAAAGGGTTTGCCTTGGACCAAGAGTTTTTCCTGTTTCATTAGAAAACTCATTGGTTGTTCTGCTCATGTATCTCTGTTGTGTTGCATATAAAAGTTTGTTTCCCAATAATGTGTAGGTCTTGCGCACATGGTTTCACTGTACATGTAAATTTGCTACTTCCAGGCCAGTCTATTTGGCATAATTGACAAAAGGAGACTGGTTATGCACCCCTCATATCAGACACCACCAGTTCTTCCACGACCCCACCCTTCAAATTAAACAGTTCAAGTCCCTGCTTGTTTACATGAAACTGGTATAGTGACACCAGCCGCAGGTGTTGTTGGACTACTACTTTTTTTAAATGTGTCATCTAGTTTTGATTACAGGGAATTTTCTGTAATCAAAAACTAACTTCCTTGTAAAGAACTTATCCTGTCACAAATTTTAGATTGCATGGCCTGCAAAGGAAAACAATTACAACTTCTGTTTCTTTTTAATTGAATTATTTCAAAATAAGACTCTCCTGTTTTGTTCAACCATTAGGAGAATAAACTAAACTTTTTTCTAAATATTTATGCAAGGGACACCCTAGTTACGGGAGCTCAGATTTCTCATTATGCTGAAGTTTGGCTTATAAGAAATGTTTGAAAATAAACTTTTGTTATTCAATCAGCACTGCCTAGTTTGACAGTTTGATCTGCTGTGTGCTTGACAGACTCACTGAGAGTGATGTGATCAGTGAATCATAGGGTTGCCACGCCCAAAAGCATACACAGCGTTATCGTCTATGTTACTCTAAATTGGACCATAATTTATTAAATGAACATCATAGTGTACAGAGGAAGAAATGAAACTAACGATTGAGACCATGAACTTGGTAGGAAACTGTTTACTGATCCAATAAATCAAACGCATGGTATTGTTTTTTATTGCAGCAAGTGGAGCTCTCCCTGCTGGCCTTTACATTGAATCCCGGTTTTAAGACGCTTCCATGCTGGCTTCACGTCACTACAGACTCTGAACCGTGAACAGCCGGCGTTCATGGGAATATTATTGTAGTTTTTTCAGGTTTTTGTACAAGTTTTGAATTTTAAAGACAATGACAATAACATAGATTAGTTGTTTGTACCTATACAGGTATTACGTTTGTGCACATGCTCTCATATTTAGGTGATCAGTGCACTGCAGTCCTTGCTTAGTGCTTAGATATCATGCCGGCAGCAAAGCATACAGGAGGCCATGATGAATATTTCACAGGCTCTCCCTCTTATTTTGCTCCTTCTTCCTGCCTTTTCTCTGACCTATGTCCCACTGTCTCTCTCTCTCTGACCCACTTCCCTGTGGAGGTCTTCAGAGCCCATTAGGGATGCCGTCAAAGCATCCGTTGCAGTTGGAGGCTGCTTAAGATGTGTGTATGTCTGTCTCAGTGTAACAAAGAGCCTCTGATTGCAAGCTAGACAGCCACTTCTACCTTTCACATGGTATGCTGCACATTGGTATAGATGTTACTTACCTTACCAGTTAGGTGGCACACTATGTGTATCATTTTAATCCTAATAATAGGATTTTCTATTATTCTTTGCAGTATTCTGCTGTGTCTGTTGGTAGTAAATAGAAGTCTTCTGCTCAGGACCCATAATCTTGCCCCATGTAGGCTACCCTTTGTCTTTGAAACCTTCCTTTACTGTATTCTTCCTGTGAATCGCTACATACAGTGTTTGTGTGCTTGCCAGAATTGAAAATAGTACACACAAGTATAAAGTAACTGTGCTGTATAATAAAACCCTTTTCCTAAGGCCTGTTGTTGGTATAAGTCTCTTCCATCCCATCTGGCTTATCCAAACCTTCCAAATCAGTAGTTTGACTGAGCCAGCAAAATTTGTGTTTGGAAAACCGTCAATGTCTGGATGAAGCCTCACTTTTCTGTCAGAGAAAATATGCACGCATTAAATTAAATTAGGTCTATAACTGAATTCAAGCAAATTGTTCCTAACATTTTATTCTTTTGCATGTCTTCTTTCCAAGAGAATCTGTTCAGGAGGAGCTATTAGGCTATATTTTAGGCATTTGCTAGTCAGGATATATTTTAAGTCCGTTTCCCAAAAGCTAGTCCATCGCCCCCTTCTTCTTTTGCTTCCTCTTGTGAGGAATGTGAACATGTGAGAGTTCAGCTCTACTGCTTGCAATCAAATGAGTACAGATTGGCTGTTTGACCCAGTGAAGTGCTTTTATTCCTTCTCCAACTCTGCTCCCGCTGTGAAGGGTTCCCTCTGCTCTTTCAGGCCTTGTGATGGTGTAATGAGACCTTTCTTAAAATCTACATTAAAAGTAAAACCGCAATCTGAAGTGAGAGACTATTTGTTGAGTCATAACACATGTAAACTGTGTTTAGTACAAGTTTTTTATATCCCATGTTGTGCTGTGATGTCTAAAATTAAAGTAATGCTGCAAAATATCATGTAGACATAGACTTGCACTGCAGAAATGATTTCATATAATGAATGTATGCGGCATGGCTGGTACACTCTCAAATGAAACATGCCAGTTCTTAATATTTTATGGACAGCCTTGATCTCTTGTCACATGCTGAAGCTTAAGCTGAGAAAAAGCCTAGCACAACCAAACTCTACTATCAGACTGATATCAGCTGGGACGCCTTCACTTCAGTTTTCCTCATTCCCCAACATTTCCCCTCTCACTCAGGTATAGTCTAACCTCGTTCTTTTTGCAATATACATTGTGTTTCTGCATTAAGTCATGACAAAGCTGAGGCTATCCCAAGTTTTAATGTGCTCAGCAGTAAAAATGTGTTCCGCAATCTTCACTTCCTGCTTTGAGCTGAGTTGTGTTTCCTGTCCTTTGACCAAGCAGAAGCTAGCTGACCTCATGTGTATCACCCAACTGAAAAAAGATTAGGCAAGGTTTCAGATACGCAAAGCAAGCTGAAGTGAAGAGAATGCATTGTTGACTTATTGTGACTTCCTGGTATGCTGTTACCAAGCAAAGTTATGTTTACTTGAGTCAAAGTAAAATTTCAAACTGAACTCAACTCTTTGCTACAAGAATGAGTCATAAATGTAGTTTCACTTCTTTCCTGCACAACAAAATGTGGACGTCACTGCAAGTTGTAGTTTTAAAGATAATGAATGTGTGACTTGTTGATTAATGTTAATGTTTTATATTGAGTTCATTATCGGTGTTTGGTGTCGCTACATGGAAACAGCCACTAAGATCTTAACACCTTACAGGCCTAATCATTGCTTAAAACAGCAGCCAGACCTCTGTTAAGAGATGACTCACAGAAACAAATGTGTTGAGCTTATGCTTGGGGAGGGTGTTTGGTTAAGGCTTTATGCTAATTTCTATGGTTCATATGTTTGTTTTTCATTTCTTACATTTTTTTTTTTACACTTACTTCTGTACACTTGCACCAGCAATTCTCCAGATCAACATCATTTAATTCTTATATATTTTATTATTTAATAAGAATTAGTTATACTGATGAAAAGCAAATGTAAGAGTGTCATTCTGTGGTGTATGGCGTAGCATTTACATGTGAAAAAACACACTGCTAGGACAACCTGTGGGGACATGACAGAGGACACAGTTTCAAATGAGACACAAGTGTTTTCATTCAGCACTTGTTTATACTAAACATGGTTAAATAATAGCTTTATCTGCAGGCCCAGCCCCAGTGTGATGCAGGTTTCTGTGTCAACAACTTCAAATTGTCTCATAATCATCTTGGCTAAACAAAAGCTTTAGTGCCAGTATATTTTACGGTTACACTACATTTTACTTGATTCAGTACTCTTATTGGCAACTGCAAGCAGGAAGAAGGAATTAATCTTGGTTTTTGTTTTGATGGAAAGCCTGTTTTCTGTTTGGAGCAGAGCTTAACACAGTGAACATGTGTTTTCCAGCTCCCACTGGTGAGGACTCCTCTTCCTCTGGCTCATCTACCTGCCTGAACTGAACCTGCCCCCCGTCTAGCTCAGCCTCACCCAGCCCTCACAAGCCCCTGCACCAAGCCTAAAGTCAACCAGACGTCCTCCCTCTTCTCCCGACTTCTTCTTCTTTCTCCCGACCATCAACACTGCGCTATGGCAGGGCGAGGCGGACCCGCACGGACCAACGGCACTGCAGCGAGCAACAAGATCTGCCAGTTTAAGCTAGTGCTGTTGGGGGAATCAGCGGTGGGAAAGTCCAGCTTGGTGCTGCGCTTTGTCAAAGGCCAGTTCCACGAGTACCAGGAGAGCACCATCGGAGGTGAGGGCTGTGTGTTTGATTCCCTGAATTGTCCCCGCTTGCCGTCATGTTTGAATTGCATCACAGCTGTACATCTCTACACAATTTAAAACTTTAAAAACAACTTTAAAACAGCTTGCACGATTTAAAACTTCTATTACAAAATAATATTATTACACAACTCCTACAGCTTTTATGCTGTGCATCATGTGGCTGTACAGAACCTCTATTTTCTTATCTTGTACCCTCTCTTTCAACATGTCAGTGGACATGAATGCCGAAGAAGCAGCAAACATGCCCTTGCCAGTACAGAGGACATGCTTGCTTGTCTGCCCTAAGCTTTTCTGTTGTCAGAGCCTGTGCAGGAGAAGGAGTGGTGGAACCAGTTCTTTGCAGCTGGATCACCCGATTCTCTCATGTGCCAGCAAGCCTCTTGCACATGGCAGAAATGTATATTGATTTTGCGGAAACAAATTACATTTCTTCATATTATTTGAGGATGGAGCTAAAAATAACTTTAGATTGTTATATGTAAATACAGTGTTTCAGAAACAGAGGAGGTTGCTTGAAACAGGAAGGAATTGAGACAACAATGGGGGTTTCCTCGACCTCCTGTAGATCAGTGAAGCTGATTAAAGAGTTACTGTAAAATCTTACAGCAATAATATGATCATGTTCTTGCAAAGTGGTGGGTTTTAAATGGAATTTTAAGAGCAAGTCTGCAGTCCAGCTGAAAAAAAATAAAACAGGCTTTCACTGCTGCTGACTTCTGAGACCGAGCTTGTTGATCATTATTTCATTAACTTCACTCAAATCTTTCCCACCGGTCTCCCACAGCCTCAGCACTCAGCAGTTTATCTCTGTAAATTACAACATGCTGTGTTGGTTCAGTTTTCTAGATAGATAAGCAAATGTTGAGTAACTAATTAATTAATTAATAAATGATTCATCAGTGCTAAGAATGTTGTCATTCAAACATATATTGAGCAAATGTGTTTCCTCTGTCCAGATTTATGTTGAATTTCCATGTTAAAAAAAAAAGGTCAACTAGGACATGTGTAGAGAGAGAGAAGGGAGAGAGAGAGAGAGAGAGAGAGGGTGATGATGATGGACAACAAAGATCCCAGGCCTGATTTAAACAAGGGGTGTTGCAGTTAATAAAAAACATGTGGTTTGAGCTCTACCAGTAGACTTTATCCGGTAAACTGTGCGGTCAACTATCAGATGAAGTTATATATATTTGTAAATGCTGATTATGTTAACTAGCAACAGAACATTTCTGGGTTTCCTATATCTTTATGAGTAATGTGGCTTCAGCATGTAGAGACAGGATGCCCAGTGCTTACGCTTACTCAATAGGAGTCAGCATGTTTTATATTCTACTGAACCTGTGGTCAGCTGCATGCCTTGGTCAAAGATTACAAAGCTTTAAAGTATGTGCTTTGCAAGGGAGCGCTCAGTTTCCTCTGTCATGTGACAGTTGCCTGAGTAAGCCAGTTGTGTGCAGTTGTGCCTGCTCGTAATGTGCTACATGTTCTTACTGTACACCTGATATTTTTGTCCTCTGTGTATCTCCAGCGACACTAATGCTGAAAAACCTTGGCCATTTGGATGTGGTTGATGGAGCACCACACCTCCCTGAACTTAATTTAAATCTTCTGTTTTGTCTTTTGAATAATTCCAGTGAGCGTGTAACTTAACTCCACCATAGTCACTGCCTCCTCTCAGTCCTGATATGTATTATTCCCTTTCCAGCTGCCTTCCTCACACAGACGGTATGTTTGGATGATACAACAGTCAAGTTTGAGATCTGGGACACGGCAGGACAGGAGCGGTATCACAGCTTGGCACCCATGTACTACAGGGGAGCCCAGGCCGCCATTGTGGTCTACGACATCACCAACACAGTAAGTTACATGGACGTCAGCCAAGACAAAAAAAAGTCTTATGTCATTTGCTGACTCTTGTCTTTTCAGCTTGGGTTGATGATTGCTTGCTTGAAGAGACAGCTACAGACCTTTGCTCTTTTAATTCTTACAGTCACATGTGACATGTAAAACCTGTATCAGGGATTTAAAGTTTAAAAGCACAGTATCTTCTCTTTCTTTTCTTTTTTAAAGGATACATTCACACGTGCAAAGAACTGGGTGAAGGAGCTCCAGCGACAAGCCAGCCCGAATATTGTTATTGCACTGGCAGGAAACAAAGCAGATCTGGCCAACAAGAGAGCTGTAGATTTCCAGGTAGACAGTCTGACATGGCATTTTTACTATGAAATCCTCAAGTAAATGAATATAAGTTGTCAATTTGCCAATTGCTCTGTTGTCTTTCTTTCTGTAGGAAGCACAAGCATATGCAGATGACAACAGTTTGCTCTTCATGGAGACTTCAGCCAAGACTGCTATGAATGTCAATGAGATTTTTATGGCTATTGGTAAGTGCTCCGCTCCACACCACGTCATGTCACGTCACATCATGTAGAGATACAACAATTAGTCTATTAATAACCAATTTGTGTTTAACTATAGGGCTAAGAATTATTTTCTTCATTAACTGATTAATCATTTGATTTATAAAATGTTTGGAAATAATGGAAAATGTATAATTAGTTCATCGGGGCATCTTCAGATTTTATCTGACTGTGGGTCCCAAACCCAAATAAATTCACAATTTTTATTAAAAATATTAATAATTGATTATTAAAATAGTAACTAATCATCTTAGCTTGGATATCTTTGGGCTTTGGACCGTTGTTCAAATAAAAAAACAAGACATTTGGTGACATCACCTCAGGCTCTAGAAAATAGTTTTTCATTATTTTCTGTTCTTTTATACTCAAAGCTGTAGAGAAAATAATGAAGTTAGTCATTTTTCGCAGCCCTACTGTCACGTTAATGAGTTGTACTCCTGACCCAAAACAGCCAAGAAGCTTCCCAAGAACGAGCCTCAGGGTGGAGCGGGCGCTGGCGGACGAGCCCAGGGCGGCGTTAACCTGCAGGAAACTGCACCACAGGGCAGAAGTGGCCAGTGCTGTGGGGGCGGGAACTAACACACACAACAACGAGTCAGCTGATCCAACCAATCTACAGCTTCGATCAACCAGACCAGATATTAGCCAGCTGTCAAACAATACCCCATTGGTCAAACCAAACCACGGTCGGACCAACAACCCTATGAGCAACACTGCACCAATAAACTGTTTGGCATATGAGTCCACTGGCCAGTAAACTGCCAGACCCCCACTGATGGTTCCAACTGATGAACCAACCCCACAGGCTTACAGAATCAGAGTTTTAACCCCAGGACTTGCCAATCCATGACCTCTCTATTGATGATGGACACTTGACGTCACCTTAGGGGAAAGAAAAAAATAAATAAAAAGTCCCATTCATGGAAGAAGGAAAAAAAATATATCAGTCATTATCAGTGGCACTTACTAGGGCCATCTTGCTCACCTTTGTTTCTGTATTTGTGTAGAGGAAAAAAAAAAAATAACGCAACAGGAAGGAATATAAGGAGGCTCATTGCCCCTCCCCCCCCCCTTTACCATGCACCATACAAGTATTTCGATCATGGTCTTATGACGCTGTTAAAACTCCAGTCCAGGTGCATGCAGCAGCCCTTCACTTTTCTGTCTTGTTCCTGGTCAGCTTCTTGGATAAGATGAAGAGAGAAGGTTCGTAAGAGGGGAACGGGAATGGACAGAGATTTCCTTCTTGATAGAGCTGTGTAGATTGAATTATTACATTGTTATTGTTATCACTATTATTATTACTTCAGCTTCTTTTGACACAGGCTGTTCAGTATGATTTTTAAAGCCTCGACTTTAAGGTTTTACGATCATCCATCTATGTTATCAATCCATATACAGTAAATAGTACTTTATTAACAGTCACCCATACGTCATTTTAGCATTAATGTAATGTTCTTGAATCATCAGTGTACAATGACAAATACATAAAGCAAGATTTGTTTTCTTGACCAAAATCACAACTGTGTATTGACAATATTGCTGTATTTGTATCAGACTTTTAAAGTTTATAATCAATCAGTAGTTATTGTCAAAACAATATCTTCCCAATCTCTACATGTTTTGTTAACCTTAATTATTTTGTGATGGAATTTTTTTTTTTTTTTTTTATGTCTTAATTTTTTTCTGAAGATCTATGGTATTAAATGCACTGGTTCTGTCTCATCATCTTTGTGAATCGAGATGTTATCGTCAGCTTCCTTTCCTTTTTCTTTTCTCTCTGTCTGTTTTTACTCTTCATATCAGGGAGGGACTGCTTTCGGTGTTGTCATCATGTTATGGCATCAACAACTAGCACAACAGTACCTGCACAGCACCCACTGCTGCTAGGTGGGGGATAATGGGGAGGGTGGGGTCATGGGTAGAGAAAGAAGAGAAAATGTAATTTTACCAATAAACAAGGAGAAGGTATCTTTTCTGTATGCCTGTTTAATCATTTCCAAATATGAATAACTTGGTCAATAACTAGTGACAGCTAACAGTGGAACATTTACTTTTAATTTAAACCATTTCAGCTCAGTGTCCAAAAAAAAATCTAATATAAGTATCTAAATAAAATAACCAGCATGAAAACTGTTGAATTTTAATGCTTATGTCCACAAACTACATTACCCATAATCTTCACCGTAGACCAGGCGTGTTGCTTTCAAGTGCATTTGCTATGCTGGTTTCTGTGAAGATTGTTTGAAAAAGAGAGAGAGATACTGCAGTGAATGCAGTAAGGTAATATTTATTGAAGGACTGTTTTTTTAATGTATTAGATGGTGTAGAGCTTCATATGGTCACAAAACTAACATTAATGCAGATATTGACAAACTTATTGATAAACCTCTAAACAATATCAATAATCAGAATTATTATCGGTTATTCCCAATGTAAAATGTAGAGTTGCAGATGTAGTCTTTAACTGTAACTACTAAAAAAACACACAAACATTTTGCACCATCATTTTATGATACGTCGTCGCTACAAAATAATCACTTTATTTTGAAAAATCATAACGGAAGTGAGGATACGGGTGAATGTGTTGCAGTTCATGACTATGGCCACTGGAGGGCACATGGACTGAGGCATTGGTAGACTAACATTACATTACATTACATTACATTACATTACAATTACATACAATTACATACTAGTGTAAGGTAAACCGGTACTGTCTACAGCGCCCTCACTATTATAAGACTGCACATTATTACCAGTGAACGTCTCACAGGCAACTACACGAGCATCATGCTGGACATAATATAATAATACGACTTCCGTTAATATAATTCACAATAAAACGTTAATATGATCCAGCACTGTGTGTACGTGCGGAAATATGGATATATTTGGCTGATTACAGTCGACGGACGTAAGTTTGATGTAACGGACGTAATTTTGGGTAATCAATAAATCGTGCTGTTATGTTTCTGCTTTAAAGAAGTTGATACTATAACGACTAGTGCGCAGTTCTTTTGTGTCATTTATTTTATTAAACTCTCAACACCACTGTTTTAAAATGGAAAAAAAAAAAATCTTTAAAAAAAAATAAAGTCCACGTCTAAACATTGCTGCGGTCCTCTTAAATCCAATTTCTCCGACAGCACTTGAAGGCAGCATATGAGCTCAACGGGAGCGGAGGAAGAGTCTAGCAGCGTGGATATGTCGGACCCGGCGGCGCAGGCCTTGCAACCCCGGCTTCTCCAAGCCCAGTCTGCTGGCTCAGCTGGGTCCAGTACTGCCGCGACAGGCTCCGGGTCAGGTAACAGCGACCCGGCCAGACCGGGACTCAGCCAGCAACAACGCGCAAGCCAGAAGAAAGCCCAAGTCCGAGCTTTCCCACGGGCGAAGAAGCTTGAGAAACTTGGCGTATTCTCCGCATGCAAGGTAGCTAGCTCGGCTAGCCAAAGTTCACCACAACAAAGCAGTCTACGGTAGTATTAGCATTAGTGTATGTGGGGCAGGAAACGGTAGCACCGTCAAGGCACCACAAACAAAAACATGACCAAATATCGAAATAACCTAACGTAATTGATAACTTTTGTAGCTTGCTAGCTAGCTAGCAAAGACACTTCTATTATTATTCTCATTACATCTTAGGAGACGCTTGTATTGTCAGCTAGCTTAGGTTAATTGTTTAGTCATTCACTGACGTACACGACCAGCAGCGGAGTGGCTGTGTTTGTCGCTTTCATTTGCGTTCAGTATATTCTGCTTATTCTCAGGCTGTTGACACATGCAAGTGCAATGGATGGAAGAACCCAAACCCACCATCGGCCACACGTATGGACCTTCAACAGCAAGCAGCCAGCCTGAGCGAGCCGTGCCGCAGCTGTGGACATGCTCTGGGTACCAACTAACTATACTCCATTACACCCCAGTCGTCCTCCCAATGGCAAATAAAGCTGTTCCTGCCCACCGCTTGTTTCCCCAATGTTGTTTGACACACGTGTTTGTGTTATTTATTGCCTCCAGCTGATCATGTGTCCCACTTGGAGAATGTGTCTGAGGATGAGATTAACAGGCTGTTGGGGATGGTGGTGGACGTGGAGAACCTTTTTATGTCTGTGCATAAAGAGGAGGACACTGACACCAAACAGGTCTACTTTTACCTTTTCAAGGTGAGCAGAAGTGTATCTTATGTGGGTGTAACGGGTGAAACAGACATACTAATAACCGCGGCTCCATGTGAAAGTTATTTTAACGTAAACGTGGAGTCATTCAGCAATCGACATTGTTCTTATTTCCCTTAGCTGCTGAGGAAATGCATCCTGCAGATGAGCCAACCAGTCGTAGAGGGATCCCTTGGAAGTCCACCCTTTGAAAAGCCCAACATCGAGCAGGTGAACATCTACAGGTCGCGTCCTGATGTTTAGCAGTAGCTGTATTTTGTGACAATAAGTCGGTGCACAACATGTGGAAAAGAATTTCTGAGGCAGCATTGTGACATTTATGATCTTTTTGTTTCCTTTTCCAACCAAAGGGCGTTTTGAATTTTGTTCAGTATAAGTTCAGCCACCTGGCACCAAAGGAAAGGCAGACCATGTTTGAGCTGTCAAAGATGTTCCTCTTGTGCTTAAATTACTGGAAGCTGGAGACACCGACGCAGTACCGGCAGCGCACCCAGAAAGACGACGGGACAGCATACAAAGTGGACTACACCAGGTGTGTGGATGTGATGTTTTTAACCTGGTAGCTTTCTGTGTTGAGTGCTGATATCAGTCTGTAACAATAGCAGTTTTTCCCCTCATGACTCCCAGGTGGCTGTGCTACTGCCACGTCCCCCAGAGTAACGACAGCCTACCGCGCTATGAAACCACTCACGTGTTCGGCCGCAGTTTGCTCAAGTCCATCTTCACTGTGACCCGACGCCAACTGCTGGAGAAGTTCAGAGTGGAGAAAGACAAACTGCTACCGGAGAAACGGACACTCATCCTCACACACTTTCCCAAGTAAGGGCAGACTCTTGAAAATAGTGTGTTTGAAAATCTTTACCTTCACACATCCATTTTCATCTTTCTGTGTTGAAACTTCTTTCAAATTCAGGGTCTTTATTTGTAGAAAAGCGTAACTTTACATTCAGCCATGTGAACAAATGATAATTTTCCCATATATCTGTCTGTATTCGTCACTGTTGCTCCCCTCTCATAGCCAGGGTGCGTTGCTTCCCCAGTGGCAGGATGTGGGTGTCCTGCTAATATTTGTCTTTAAAATAACATTTTACTTTGACTATCAGGTTCTTGTCCATGCTGGAGGAGGAAATCTATGGCGATAATTCACCAATATGGGAGGCAGACTTCACTATGCCGGCCTCAGACGGCGCACAGCTGGGACATCAGACAGGTGAGGCGGGTGTACAGCCTTAAGGTCATCAAGTAACAACTGAGTGGAGACAAATGTGAAATAAGATTCCGTTTTAGGGTAAAAAGATTGAACTTTATTGTTCCGCTAAGGAGAAATTTACATTATAGCAAGCACAGAAATGGGGTAAATGGGTAGGAAACAAATAAAGCAGTGTACCGTAGTGTAACTTTGACAGCCTAGTTTAGGTATAGTATCTATTGTTTATGAAATGTGCATAATGTGGGTTGTTATTAATGGTTTGTAATTAATTTTCCTGTACTCTGGTGTCTCTCCATTGCAGTGATCAGTCCTGCTGCAGTGTCCGGCTCCCCCGCTCTGCCCAAGGGTCTGAGCAGCATCTCCTCTCTGGGCAGCATGGACACTGGAGGTGCAGAGCCCATCACAGGTCTGTGAGCCCTGCCCTCTTTGACGCCATTACCTTTCTGCTCTCAGTAGATATGGCGATACCTCACACACGTCTCATGCACTTAAAGGAAGATTTGGAGTATTGTGTAGTTTTTGAGGCCTGCTGTAAAGCGCCCAGCACACACCTGTGGCTACATATGTTATTTAAATACGAATGTGCTTATTGCTTTGATCTGAGTGATACCCCTGTCTGTTCAGGAGAGAAACGTAAACTTCCAGAGGCGTTGACCCTGGAGGACGCCAAGCGGATTCGTGTGATGGGAGACATCCCTATGGAGCTGGTCAATGAAGTCATGATGACCATCACTGACCCAGCTGCTATGCTTGGACCAGAGGTAAGTCGTGTAACCTTTTGTTAAGTGAAGTCTTATTTTGTTACAAATGTAGACTGTTGCACTTACAGTTTATATGTTAATATTGCTAGACTAACCTGCTGACGCCTAACGCTGCCCGTGATGAGACTGCCAGGCTGGAGGAGAGGCGAGGAATCATAGAGTTCCACGTCATTGGAAACTCGCTTTCCCAGAAGTCCAACAAAAAGATCCTGATGTGGTTGGTTGGCCTGCAGAATGTCTTCTCTCATCAGTTACCTCGCATGCCCAAAGAGTACATCACACGACTGGTGTTTGACCCGTAAGTAGATGCTCTCGTAGCACATTTCATCGGACGCCTGCCTGCACACCGTTCTCATGTCTCCAACTTTCACAGGAAGCACAAGACCCTTGCCCTTATCAAAGACGGCCGCGTCATTGGTGGCATCTGTTTTAGGATGTTTCCCACTCAGGGCTTCACGGAGATCGTCTTCTGTGCCGTCACATCCAATGAGCAAGTTAAGGTACACTAACAATTTACTCCCTTGAGTCATAGTGGTACAGATAGACTGTCATTTGTAGTAGCTTCTTTAGCACATTTTTACTTTCTTACTGACCCTGGGGCTACATTTACAAAACATCCTGTTTTGCCTTATTCTCATGTACCACCATACCCTTTTTTTATCATAAAAAAATATTTGCATATGGAAAGACCAGAGTATTGAGATGCTGCTTGTAAACTTTGCTTGCACTTTTTTGACATTGTCTTTTATCTGGTCTTTTTAATGAAGGGCTATGGTACCCACCTGATGAACCACCTGAAGGAGTATCACATCAAACACAACATCCTCTATTTCCTCACTTACGCTGACGAGTACGCCATTGGCTACTTCAAGAAGCAGGTACTGCCGGCGTGACCCGTACATTAGCTCTGCCCCGGCCCTCTCCCTCCATCCCGTCCTCTCAGTAATTTGTTCTTCCCTTACAGGGCTTTTCCAAAGACATCAAAGTGCCGAAGAGTCGATACCTGGGATACATCAAAGACTACGAGGGAGCGACCCTCATGGAGTGTGAGCTGAACCCGAGAATCCCCTACACTGAGCTCTCTCATATCATTAAAAGACAGAAGGAGGTATGTGAGGCTGTGAGGTCTTCTTGTTAAGGCAAACACATGATTTCTGCTGTGAATCTTTTGTGTTTTAATATCACATAAATCTTAACTGTCCTAACAGATTATTAAGAAGCTGATTGAGAGGAAACAGAGCCAGATCAGGAAGGTTTACCCAGGTCTCACCTGCTTCAAAGAGGGTGTGCGACAGATCCCAGTGGAGAGCATTCCAGGCATAAGTGAGTGTTTGGTTTGTGTGTAATGAAAAAATATTTAAAAATCTGTATTATCAAATTACTTACAAGTCTTTTTCTTCCAGGAGAGACGGGCTGGAAACCAAGTAACAAGGACAAAGGGTAAGCTTTTAGCATATATTATTCAAATCATTGTTCAAGTTTTGAGATGCTTTTGTTCTTGTTGATGTAATGATCAGGTGCTATGGAAGAGCGGGGCTTTGTGCGTGCTCTTACCATCTGCCACAGTGTCTATTTTGATACTACCACAGGGGGAGTGGCAAAAATTTAAATTTACAAATTCTACACAAAGTGGCTTTAATGTGTTTTTATGTAGCAGCTGTCTCTGCTACAGACACATCGCAGTTGACAGGCTAAAGTCCACAGTTTGCTCACTTACTCATGCACCCATTTAACAGCTAAAAAGTTAAATCACCCCTTTTTTATTTTATATCTTCATCTGCTTAGTTGAGCAGTGAAGTGAAATAAAAGATAAATGAATGGATTGCAGCTGAAGGAAAAGAAACTTTAAAACTCAAACATCTCCCTGTTTTATTACTTTACACAGTGATGGTTTGCAGGCTGGGGTTAATTGGGCAGCCAATTAGGCGCTCAAGTATCAATCAGCCAGAGTGGGGGGGAAACAAACTCAACACTAGCTGACTGAATTGTCTTTATTTCACTGACGCGTTTTGGCCTTTGGCAAAGCCTTTATTAAATAGTTGTATAAAATATATATATTATATATATATATATATATATATATATATATATATATATAAGTCTAATGCTAAACTCTTAATTCTTTCTGCTTGGATTTTAGAAAGCCTCTCTTCTTTTCCTAAAGAAGTTCATGTTGCCCCTCTCTGGGTCCCCGACTCACTTTATCCATACCAATTTTAAAAAATCCATCATTGATTGTTTGGCCTCAAAAAATGTGTGGTTGACAAAGGGCCTCCGCCAGTACACATTGGTGACATAAAGGGGGTTCTTTAATGTCGCCGTACTTCACATTCTAGTATGAATCTGATTACAGGGGTCTCATTTAGAGACATATGTTTACATGAGTGTAGTTAATATTTTACTGAGCTATCATTCCGCATGGTTTTGCAGGAAAGAGGTGAAGGATCCTGACGTGTTATACAACATGCTGAAGAACCTCCTGGCCCAGATAAAGGTAAGGGTCACCTGTTGACAGCAGACGGCAACACACACACACCACAGCAGTAATAAGAACGGAGACTAACCAGGACTTTATCTCAACAGACTCATCCTGATGCCTGGCCCTTCATGGAACCGGTGAAAAAATCGGAGGCTCCAGATTACTACGAGATCATCCGCTTTCCCATCGGTCAGCGAGCATTTCTTTGATTATACAGCAGCTTTAATAGCTCCTGCTTATGTCACAGATAGCATTTATTAAATTATTATTATTAACTCACATTTTTCTCTTCTCCTTTTTTTTTGTCTCCACAGACCTGAAAACCATGACAGAGAGACTGAAGAACAGATACTATGTGACCAAGAAGCTTTTCATTGCCGACCTGCAGCGAATCATCACCAACTGTCGCGAGTACAACCCTCCAGACAGCGAGTACTGCAAGTGTGCCAACACCTTGGAGAAGTTCTTCTACTTCAAACTAAAAGACGGAGGCCTGATTGAGAAATGAACTCAGCCACAGAATTATTTACCCATTTCTTCACAGACAAGGAGCGACACAGCGGCCACACCCCAAGATGGAGCAAATCACAAGGAGAACATCGCTAGCTATTGTCATATCTGAGTTAATAAAAGGGTATGTACATGACTGACTCATTTTACAAGGGAATTGTTGGACTTGAGCAAATACAACAGAGGGTTGTTTGAAAATATCAAAGCCAGTTGAGCATTACAAAGTGTCCAAACGGCATTATCTTTCCCCAACAGTTGGTTAATAATCTGCATATACATATTTCATTAAGTGTACCAAAGTTATAGGTCCAAGTTATAACAATGCCACACTTTCCACCATTATTTATAGTATGATTGACTCGGTTTTCGCACATTCAGTGACATTCATTCCAAGTTTAAAACTCATCCCTTGAGCAGATGTATACGTAGTGTATAGTTTCATTTCACAGAAAACTGGACCTCGGGACCTAAAGCCACGTTGCCTTCCGTTACTGACAGACACTTGAACATCCCAGCCATCTTCATGGGTTTTAAGATAAATGTTCTTTTAAGGGGCGAAGACCTTAAAACACTTGGGCAGATAGGCAGTACTTTGACTCTTGAGTAGTGTTGAAACGATTTTTATCATAAAGTTGTTCACGAAAGGGCAAATACAGAACATTTGCTAGTTTTGGCTCCTCAAAAGTGAGGATTTGTTGCTTTTTCCTTTTCATTCCGGTGTATATTGAATGTGTTTCGGCCAAAAAGACAATTGTTTATCATTTGCATTCTGTATGCTAAACAAACGATCAATGACGAAAACAGCACAGATTAACTTATAATAAAAAATTGTTTGTTACAGTCCTACTCTAGACGCTGCTAGTGATGGACTGGGCATCAAATATTTCCAGCACTTGTGTGCTAAACAAAATAATTTCCCCCCGATCGTTGCCTTCAAGAAAACACAGTTGTTTTCATGTTGACAACATAATATATATACTTATTTGTACAGTAAATATGATGCATACTCTTTATACACCATTTTCCACTGGCAGGGTTTTATTCCAAATCATTTAGGATGAGGTCACGCATTAGTATAGCTTTCACCATGCTTGCAGGTGTGATACTGTAGTTGTTGGCATTGATTTGTTCTGTTGCTAGAGTCTGTAGTAAAGTCACTTCCACACACATATGCTAAGTATTCTATTTAGTGTACAGCCACATTTTTTGTGGTGGTCGCACGTTTACTGGATAGTTTATGTTGATAAAACCTAAACATGATTTTGGGGGGGTGGTGGTGGAGGGTAAGCTAACAAGCAGTCCTCCTAGTGGTTCTGGGCTTTTTGAAAGAAGCTAACTCTGGTTTATTTATAACTCCATACACAAGCTGTAAGTGGGTGTAAATGCATGGCAGACAGTTTACAATTTGAATTCACAAAAAAACATCCAACTTTTAGTCACTGTTGATGCAGGTTTTTTTTACAGTGTTACACACATTGTAATGAACTGTTAAAAACACGTCTTTGTTCAGCGGTCAGCGTCGAACGGGGTGCTTCCTGTGACGCATCCACTTCTGTTATGGGAAGTTACTGTCCAGTGCTGGTTGAGCCTGCTTGTTGAATGTTCCATTGACTTGTGTATGTGCGTTTGTTTGTGTGTGTGTGTGAGTGTGTGTTTATTTTGTACTTGAATCATGACTAGCTTTGAATTACTGAAGTGATGTCAGTGTTGCATTATTCAGGGTTGTCAATTGCATACTTCTCCCTCAATCTACCTATGCTGCATTTCAGATTTTCTTAAAAAAAAAAAAGGTCAGTCTGAGTGAACGTTCCACCTGTTTGAGGATGGCTACTGTCTCTAGTTATGGTATTAATGCCATTTACTGTAACTGTAATACTGTTCATGACAATAAAGTTTTTTTTTTTAAATAAACCATTGTTAAATGTGCAGTTTCTAACATCAAGTACCAGTTTATTATTATTATTATTATTATTTTTATTATTATTATTATATTATTATTATATGTTAATTATAAGACTCCAGTCAGAACTAGATCAGGATTTTGGGGATTTCAGATTTGACAAAATAAAAAATACTTGCATGACCACTTTTCACTTGTTACTTCTGACATTGCTATGAATAGAATCGGCAAAGGATTATGGATGAACGGGACAAACGTGTTCAGGTCATAGGCCTCTCCACGTGAGAGTGATCTAATTTGCTTGCACTTGCACTGTGTTATCAAGTCGTCCCCCACCCTACCTTTGTTTTTCCAGGACACATCCAATAGATGACAGATATCACACACATAGCCTATGTAAACAATAAATACAAGACATAAGAATAGCCTGTATCTCATTTTATGTGTGATTATAGTACAACAGTTCTTTCTTTAATTAAGTGCATCACAAAGTCTGTCTGTCCAAACTGTTCACCACTGATTAACCTTAAAAAAGTACACACACATATAGGTATTTAGGATTTACATTCACTAGATTGTAAGTTGGTGGATATTTTGAGAGGATACTACATTTTGTGAAGAAACGCATTAACTGCCTTTGGTATCCTTAAATGAATGCCTAATTGTTACAAATGATCTATCAGCAAATATTTAGTATCTTAAATAGTGTATTTAAAAAGGTGCATCTGTGGCAAAATAGGTGTCTGTTATGGTGCATCTGTGTAAAATGTTTTTTTAAAGTACTAAAATAAATTCTTCTGTGACTCATATGTTTTGACTGTAGCATTAGGCCTGTAGGTTTCGCTTTCCTGATGTAACAAAATGCAGGCAGGGCCCAGTTAGAGTATACTGTTTGCAAAACCTGAGTGTGCGGTGGCCTTTCCCTTTTCAGTTTCAATAAAACAACTGTCACCTGTAAGGTACATACAAAAAGATCAATATATGATTAACCATGGCTGGATTATAAAGGGTTTGTCAAAGATTTTCTGTCAGTGAAGGCTTTCCCTGTCGCTGCACAGCGAAGAGCAGCTGCCGTTCCTCCAGAGCCTCCCTCAGTGGGGCCCTTCTGCCGGCAGAGCGAGGTTTAAGTTTTGTTTCTCTGTATAACACAACTACTCAAAACCAGATTTAAAACCACACCTAACACCATATAGTGATTGCTGAGTGCTGTCTGTGTGGAAACAACTTTAGGAGCAACTTTATCAACAAGATAGATAAGAGGTTTTATTTGTCACATGCAGTTATACATAGTAATATGCACAGTGAAATGCATTCTTTGTACCTGCAGCCAGTAGTAAAGAAAAACAAAATACTACGACAGTAAAACAGTTGTGATTGCACATAACACACAAGGTAAACAATATAAGTGTAAATATAAAACTAAGAAAAAAATTAAATAAAATACAGACTTTAATATAACAATATAGACTGTAATATAACTATAATATAACAAGGAGGTGATCGTTGATTTTAAGAAAGGACGCAAAGACACACAGCCTTTCAGAGTGCTTTTTATTACACTACTCATGCTTTCTCGCGTCCTCTCTCCTCCGGTGACCCAGAAATCCCCCCTCCGCCGTCACGGTGGCTCTTCCTATCCCTTAAAGCCAGCTTGAGGAGAGAGGAGGCTTCTGGAGGAGCTGAGAGTGAGGAAACAGGTGTAGATGTATATGGCCCAGGATAGGAGGGCTCTGCAGCAGGTAATTAAAGCCACTCAGAAGATCATTAGCACTCATTTACCGGGTATAAGGGACAAAACAAGGTTGTGTACAGGTAGCCAAGCCCAGAACGTATTGTCATTGAGTCAGTGCAGCTTTACTGAAATTCCAATCTTTAGCCTGACTAAAGATTTACTGTACCCAAGTCTGGTGAAACAATGACTTGCAACTGAATTCAGTTATTCAGTAATGGAACTAGAGGGCAGAAAACATAAAGTTACATTGGTTCATGTTAAAACAGGCATGGGGATTTCCTGCATCAACACAAGCAACAATCATAAGTTTTGTTTTCCTTATGCAATGAAGAGCAACAGACAGGGCCCAGTTTCGGTGCACGCAACACTCTCTACAAAACAACCTCAGCTGTAGGCCACAGCTGCAGTATGGAGTATGGATAAGATATGAATATAAGCGTAGACACAGCTTTATTAAAAAAGGGTTTTGAAAGAGGGTTGACTATTTTATGTCAGTGTAGTTCAGGCTTCCCCTGTCACTGCACACTAAGACTGTTGTTCCTCCAGAGCCTCCCTCTAGGGCCACTTGGTTCAAAGGGCTTTTACTTTCATTTCCGTGTGTGAGCGTCACACAGCTGATCACAACAGAATTAAAAAACCCTCCACACCACAGTGTGTTGGCAGTGGACAAGGAGAAGCAGCGAAAACACACAGCTGACTGGTGAGTTAATAAAGGCTGACTGTTTGTAACAGATGAATACAATGATTCAGCAGGTCTCACAGGAAGCTTGTTGCTGTTTTCTCCAACTTTACCCTGATGTAGCCAGACGTTATGCTGTTAATGAGTTTTGATGTGCTGATTCTTTTCTACAATGCTGTGTAATTCTGATGTGTTGTCAAACAGGAGGACAGTGTAGGATGGCAGATTTTGGGCTGTATTCGTACCAGGAAGAAGTGGTTCAAAGGGCTCTCCGGGGAGAGAACATAATCATTTGGCTGCCGACGGGAGGCGGAAAAACACGTGCAGCTGTGTATGTGGCCAAAAAACACCTGGAGTCCAAACCGAACGCAAAGGTGGTGGTCCTCGTAAACAAGGTACACAGTTAGCATACAAACTGCCAGAGTCCAGAATCATTTTCATACTAATTATAGGATGCAAGCAGTGTAGCAGAAGAAGGCAAAATACAATATGTTTTGATGTCGTCTGCACTGTAGGTTCACCTGGTAGACCAACACTACAGCAAAGAGTTCAAGCCTTACCTGGACCATGACTACACCTTGATGGCAGTCAGTGGAGAGACAGGAGAGAAGGACTTCTTCGGGAAAGTGGTCCAGAAGTCAGATGTGGTCATCTGCACCGCACAGATCTTGTATAATGCTCTGACTAACATGGAGGACACCAAACACGTTGAGCTCTCAGGTCAGTATAAGTGAGCTTCTTTGTTTATGATGTAAGTTTCATACTACAGACAGTAAGATCCACAAATCGAGACTGTACGCTTGACGCATTCATGGTTCCTTACAGATATTACTCTACTGATAATTGATGAGTGTCACCACACCAACAAGGAGTCAGTCTACAACAAGGTCATGGGATACTATGTGGAGAAAAAGTTGAAAGGAGAGCGACCGTTGCCACAGATCCTGGGCCTCACTGCATCACCGGGAACAGGGGGCGCCAAGATCCTGAACAGGGCTGTGGACCATGTACTGCAGGTTAGGATTTAACTATTCACCTTCCTGTTTGTCACTAATAAGAGCTCCCCATCTCCTCTTATTCTTCATAATTATGATATTCATCATCTCTCTCTCTCTCTCTCTCTCTCTCTCTCTCTCTCTCTCTCTCTCTCTCTCTCTCTCTCTCTCAGATTTGTGCCAACCTGGACTCAGCCATAGTTTCAACTAAACACTATGCCCCCGAGCTCAAGGAGAAAGTACCCAGACCCAAGAAGACGTTTGACATTGTGGAGAAAAGGCCTGAGGTAAGCAATTTTCTTCCTTTTTTAAATTTAACCCACTATTTGTAGACATTTGGAACATTTCCAAATAAAAACAGATGTAGTAGACAGTAATGCACCCTTATAATTACAACTTGCATGACATGGGGACAATGAAATAAGTGGGCTGAAAGCAACAGCCTGCACTTATTTTCATTTAAATTACAAAAAAACAAACAAAAACTTAATCATCAAAACATTTTGAAAGATGCTATATTTACATATACATTCCACATATAGTCAACATTTTTCCTCTTAGGATCCATTTGAGGATCATCTGAAGTGGATGATGCAGCTGATCCATGAGTACATGAACATACCTCCAGATTTCAGTCTGAGAGCGTGTGGCACACAAGACTATGAGGCAGATGTGGTGAATCTAGAGCGGCGAGGTAAGAAATCAGTTGTTTTTTTTCCCGATCTTGTATGCTACAATGCAGTTGTTAGGGTTTTGGTGGCAAGGACAGCAAATGCTTCTGTTCATGCTGACACATAATTTGTGTATATTTGGACCAGGAGTACAAGACGGCAACAGAGTGCTGGCACAATGTGCACTCCACCTCCGAAAGTACAGCGACGCCCTTCTCATCAATGACACCCTGCGAATGATGGATGCTTTTCGCTCCCTAGAACAGTTCTACCAGACCGTCCCTGAAATTGATGGAACAGACTACTTCCTTGTCGGACTTTTCAATGGTAGGAATCCAAAAATATGAGTTACTTATCTATGTATATGACCGGCCATATCATTTTTATTTATGTGAAGCTCATGGTGCAGTTTTTTGCAAGAAATAATTAATACCACTTTTACACAGAAAATCAGGTGGAGCTGAGGAAGTTTGCAATGGATTCTCGCTATGAGAACCCGAAGATGGCCCAACTTGAGAGCACTCTGCTAAAACAGTTTGGTCCAAGTGTGCAATCAAGAGGAATCATCTTCAGTAAAACTCGTAAAAGCACCCACTGCCTACATGACTGGGTCTCCACCAACAGAGCCCTACAGGAAGCTGGCATCAAGGCAGCCATTCTCACTGGGGCTGGCAATGGCATCGATTACATGACACAGGTGTGTTGATAAGAATCCTAAGCTATGAGCTTTAAGTCATTCGAATTCAGTAATAACTCATCTGTTAATGTGTCCTTACAATGTAAACTTTCCTTGCAGAATAAGCAGGCAGACACGATCCGCAATTTCCGCAATGGTTCTCTCAACCTCCTGATCTCCACCAGTGTGGCTGAAGAAGGCCTTGACATCCCTGAATGCAACCTGGTGGTACGCTATGGACTGCTTACAAATGAAATTGCCCAGCAGCAGGCCATTGGCCGTGCCCGGGCAAGAGACAGCCAGTATGCAGTGGTCGCCCAGAAAGGGGGGCGGGAAGTGCAGCGGGAGCTCACCAACGAATATCTGGAAGAGCTGACTGGAAAAGCCATTGCCAAGGTCCAAGATATGAGATCTGAAGAGTTTCAGAGAAAGGTGAGGATGTGGTACTGTGTCCATCTTCATCCCTTACTCTCACTGCTTAGTGTTCTTGCCATCACCTTTTATTCTTTGTCCCCAGATAACTGAGCTACAGACAGAGGCAGTTATTGGCAGGAAAATTGTAGAGAAGACCAAAACGGCGATGAGGAGTCGCAACTCTGCTGCTATTGTCCAGCTCTTGTGTCGCAGCTGTTTCAAGCCTGTGGCCTCTGGCAGTGACATTAAACTTGTTGACAACGTGCACTATGTCAACATCAATCCTGACTTTAAGTGAGTTGAACTCAGTATAAGCTATGTGCAAAAGAATATTCAAGCCAAAGTCTTTACAAAACGTCTCTGAACGTCCTGTGAACACGGCTTATCTTTTCTCTCAGGAGACACTACAAAATCGGTGGGCAGGTGAACCTGGAAAGGACTTTTGAGGACTGGGAGCCTGGACATACAATCAGCTGCAGTAACGAAGGCTGCAACAAGGTAAAGTGGTCACTCTGCCAATTAATTAATTTAAAACTCAAAACCAGACTCGAAAGAGCTGATGTTGGTGCTCATGTTGCGGTGTGCATTTTATCCTTATTTACATTCACAGAACTGGGGATTTGAGATGAAGTACAAGAAGTTTGCCATCCTGCCCAATCTCGCCATCAAGAACTTTGCCATGGAGACCCCTGATGGCAGGACTACTGTGAAGAAGTGGAAGGACATCACTTTCCTTGTTGAGGAGTTAGACTTTGCACAATACTGCGAAGAAAACTTCCCTGACATATTTGATTGAGACACCAGTAAGAGAAATCAGTGTGGGGTTCTTTTCTTCTTCCTCACATGTCAGTTTTTATCTGTTTTTTCCCATGTGCCTGCATTAATTTGTGCTGCGGGCCAGTGAGGCAGCAGTGCGCTAAAACCCATTACGCATCGATCATGCTTGAAATTAGCATGACAGGCCAAAGGTCCTAACTCCTTTTGCATGTTTTTGTGGGTACTGCCTCTGTTTCTTCTTAAGTCATCCACAGAAACAAAGCACAAAATCAACTCAGATGTAACATGAACCTTTAACAATCATGAACACTTGACATGTAATCACCAAGATTTAACTGTTTTAAAATGCTTTCAATTAGCAGCCACATTTTTACAGTGGATGCAGTATATACACGTGTGTTTGTTCCTGTAGTATGCAGATACTGTGTATGTACTGATCATCTCTAATTATTTTATGCAATTATTCAAATGTTTTATGGGAGGTTAGTTTTAACAATATTTTAGCATTATAAAGCCACTTTTATTTGACTTCATTTGACTTTGTTTCTGTATACTTTTTATGATGAGCAATCATGGCCGATGTAAATAAACTAAAATGAAAGCTGATATGGAATTTAAATAAACATTCCTCTTGAAATGCCCAGATTTCTTGTAATAATTGTGCCACTATCAACCACTAGGTGTCAGTGTTGGTTAGCCAATCAACTCAGACACAGTTTCTCTACCTCTGTAACCAGTAACATATAATGTAAATTAAGCCGCAGTAGAAATCTCCTCTAGTGTATCTCAAACTGATGCCCAGTGGCCCTTAGATTAGTCAAACTCACCAGATTTGGCTGTGGTGCCCTTGAGCATCTGACATCTGGAAAAAGGAAAAATGTAGTCAGTAGACAGGAAAGGGGGCTTTTCAAGCATTAGTTCTGATATAAACAGTGGTTTATTTTAATGCAACTGTTTCTTTATGTTTGGACAAAAGCATTACATGAGCTAAAAATATCCCCGAATCCTCCAATGTCTGCAAAAGCGTCTCTTTGTAGCTTTCAAAATGTATACTGAATTTTACTTGTGATGTGTTTTGACTGCTGCAGCTCACTATGCTGCTTGTGCATCACTGGATCAATACAGGGTTATGTATTTCAGCTTGGATCATCTGAACAGTCTACACAGAGCTACAGATGAACTTGAAATTTGAATGAATTTAAAAATCTGGCTTCAAAGATACAATTTACTGAATTACTTTTTCTAAGAACCCTTACGGCTTGATTTCAGCAATCCCTAAAAGACAGATTTAGACAGCTAATCATGGAAAACAGTCTTTGCTGAAGCTAATTTACAGTTTGTTTTTACTGCTGTGTTTACATATATGAATCAAATTTGATATACAGCAGCACAGCTTCAGCTATAATGAGCAGGTTCCAAAACAAACCCAGATTATGGAACTAAAGCAACTGGCGAGGAAAGCATTTAGTTTCAGGCAGGCAGCTGTATTGGGTATATTCACTTTTGACCCACAACACATCTTTTTGTGCATCTCTGGGCAAGACATGATTAGGTCAACCTCACAGTGTCACATGTGTCGTAATCCTTTCAAATCTGGCAGAGAGCTGGAGTCAGTAGTGCTGCCATAGACGTAATCACACTAAAAACAGGCTCTGTTCCGGTGTCATGCCTGACTCAGATCCAGGCAGGCAGAGAGGAGCCGTGCAGTGTATGATTTACTCTGATCAGGCTCAGGCTCTATAATCAACACTGATTGCTTCCTTTTACTTCCCAGCTCAGCACCCCATGCATCTTAATTGCAATTAGCTCACTTCTGAAATTAAAGCAGCTTGGAGTAGTTGAGCAAAGGATAACATGGTGTGTGTGTGTGTGTGTGTGTGTGTGTGTGTGTGTGTGTGTGTGTGTGTGTGTGTGTGTGTGAATTTAGGGGATGCTACTCACATTTATAGTAGGCTTGTTGTCATTGGTATCTAGGACATGCACGGCTGTCTGTCTACTGTATATGTTCATCTTATACACGAGCTGTATGAGAGTCGGTTTCGGATTTCCTTGATGAGGACGAGTATGTCTTCCAGCTGAGAAACTGATGTCATGTAGGATCTTATTCATTTCACAATATCTGATATTTCCTAGTGTATGACATAACTTAATCAATTTGCCAACTAATAAAATAGCTTCATCGATTTCATATTTCTTTTAAAATGTAAAAACAAGATGGAGCTATTTTGCATGTTTTGAAAGAAAAGGGATCCCCTTTATTTGGTGCATGTTGAAACATGTTACCAACTGATATTATTGACTGATCAACTGAAAATTTAAATAACTGATTAATGTTTATGATTTTTAAAAAAAGCAAAACAAGAGTAGTGGCTCTTTTGTCATATAGGATAATTAAATATATTTGGGTTTTAGACTGTATGTGGACAAAACTAGCTATCTGAATATGTCACATTGGGCTTTAGGATATTATTTGGGGCATTTTTCACTATTCACCACTTTCTGACGTGCTAACAACAAAGTGATCATATATTTATAGAGAAAATAAATATAAATCAGCAGACTCACTCATAATAAAAGTAATAATAAGATACTTACTTATGTATTATGTATTTTTTCCCCTCTGTCTTGGTAAAGTTCAGTTTGAAGTTTTTTATTTAGTTTATTTAGTTTTTATCACATAGCCTACAGAAAATCTCCAAACATGGCCTCTACCCTGGGTGTCACCTTTAATGTGTGATTGACAGGTCATTAGCCTAATTAGCTACTTGTAATGGAAGCTCGCTGACCTGGCGACCTGTGTGTGTTGAACTATGCAGGGGAAGGGCGATTACAGCGGACTCCCGCCCGGTTGGCACGATTTCCCCCCAAGAAACAACTAACAGGAACAAACTGAGCTAATAAATGGGCTTTAGTGGAAGATGCCGCGCAGCGTGACAGCTCCACTGTTGCCATTTGGTGGAACTCAGCATCAGGGGAATGTTTGCAGATTAATTGTGAATTGGCTGCGTATTTCTCCCCTACACACGTTTTCCGTTTATAGTTGGACAAACAGCTTGTTTGGGATGTGTTCCTCTTCCACAAATACACACACACTCATAAGAGAGAGAGAGATAGAGAGAGACTGACCTTGCTTTATCAGTCATGGCGTTGTGAATGTTGAGTTTGGAGTGTTTTACGCATGAGCAGGTGGTCTCCTCCAGGTGTATTTATGACACCTGTCAGCGGCCAGCAAGGTTTGTTGTGTTGAATATGGCGAAGCTGCTCTGTTGCATTTTGAATCCACATTGTTTAACACTGATTTGCCATGGCTGCTGTTCCCTGCTATCCACTGTGTGCCTGATTCACATTATCAACTTTGGCCAATTGGATTTGTTGCTGTGTGGAGCCTCGAATTAATTTTATTGCGATCAATAAATATTACTTGTGGCCCCTCAAGGTTTGCCCTCAGTGCAGGCAAACAGTTGTGAGATCAACAGATGAGTGATTCTTTTTTTATTTTTATTTTTTTTCCCTTTTGACAGATTTTAAGATGCCTGAAGTGGTAGGCCACACGAAGTAGGCCCTGTGGCTGAGGCTGATGGGAATGCCCAAAGTACTGGACAAATTTAAAGACCTGATGAGACCACTAAAGACATTAGAGCATCACCAAAATGATTGCAGGTCAACCTGAGGGGGGACATGAATGTGCTTTTGAAATGTAATAGCAATGCATCCAGTAGTTGTTGAGATATTTCAGTCTGGACCAACGTGGTGGAGCGACATTGCCGTCTGTGGAGCCGTGTGGCTAGCAGGGCAGCATGAAATGGTAAAAACACCATATTGCGATTATTTGGATAGATATTGCGATATGATTTGAAACTAGTGGGAATCATAATTTGTGCATCACAAATTGATCCCATCATTCCACTTTGAGAACCAGAACTATATTGTCCTATCATCTACTATTCTGCTGTAAATATGGATGTCTTGTAAAAGTGTCTTTTAAACCCATTATGGCAGGACATTTAAATAAAAATCATTCATTCATATAGATTTTGGAAAAAAAACATTACCTAACTCTCTTTTTCCTTTTTAAATAAGCAAATACTGTAAGCAGTCTGTGCGTAAAACTTGTGTGGTAAGACAACGTTGACAGGTGTGGACGACAAAGCCCATCACTGGGTCAATTTCCTGGCTGCAGACAGAAGTCACACCTGTTAGGCCAGCGTCAGACTAACACACACACACTCTCTCTCTGCTTGTGCAGTCGTAACACATATTCTCTCCAGGACACAGACGGAGACAATGACAGACACAAATATCTCCTACAGTACAGTGAGCCGGTCACCAGGACGGGCATTTCCTCTGGGATCGGTCTACTTGTCAGGCAGCTGCTAGTGCTGTCTGAGAGCCTGCTGCGCTGCTCGTCGGCCTTCTTGTCAAGGCGATAGGACTTCAAAGTCTCTATTCTCATGGCAACAGCAGTGGATTACAAGTTACATTGAGTGACAAGATGGGTGATGACATCTGCATTGTCCTACTGTATGTGGTTATGTATACTGCCTGTGCCTTATTTGGAGTTGAGTGGTTTTCAGGCTGCTGCCCAGCCTGTGTGGATGTACAGTGCTGCGAGTAAACTATATTTGGAGTGATGTGGCCATGTCTTGTTATGCCATTTGACCTCTTTTGGGGCAGTCGTGTCTTGGCTGCCATCAAAAAGCCCTCGGGTCAATTCGAGATGGGGCGTATTTCAAATTTTATACAGAACATTCCCTTCTACATTTTTAATTTCACGGTACGTTCCTTTTTAACACCCAGACTCTTGAAAAACATGTTTGTGTGTATTTTGGGGGCAACATGAAAGCAATTATAGTAAGGAAGGGGTGTATCTTTGTTGTCGCACGTCTCCTTTGATTGAGGATGTCGCTCTCTGAAGTGGACTCGAGCGCCGGTGTCAGTGCCAAAGTCGAGTTACCCAGCCTATTTCATGCTTTATTATAGAACAGATAAAAGAGGCGCTTGTCTTTGCTGTCTGGGCTTTTGTCTGCTCTTTTCTGTCTTGTCCCTTTCTACTGCCTTCCTTTTGACAGAACTGCCTGCTAAATTATTGGAGTTTAGAAACTTAAGCATGAACACCCAATAAGTTCTTGATCAGAAGCCCATTTCACTGGCCAAAGAATTCACGCTTTAAAAAACCAAACAAGTGCTGCTGTCTATGTTTTAGTCCATAAAACATTATGACATATTGGCAGTATAAATATTAGCGCTCACATCGAAAGTCTGGGAGAAGTAGAGACTGTTGACAGAGTCCTGTTCTTAAGTAAATGTGGTGCTCCAGATATTTATTGTTAGTGTGTGTGTGTGTGTGTGTGTGTCTGTGTGCGTAGGTATAGTGGTTTTGGTTTGGGCTAAAATAAATGTGTCTTTGTCCTCTTTCCTCTGTCTCTGCCATTGACTGCAGTTTGTGTCACTCTAATCCCTGTTATTAATCCATGTTGAGTCGCTTTGAGTCATTCAGGCTGGTGGGGATTATTGTGGACTCATATGACAGCCCACAGATTTTTATTTACTCCCCTCTACGCTGATCACTGGAAGATGATTGAGTGTGGTCTTGTTTGCATGTACGTGTATGTGTGACGGATGTGATGGTTAAAGGTCCAGTGT